TAAAGGAAGTTTTGTGGACTGAGAACCAACAAGAACAGACAACAACCAGAGAATGACATATGTGGCAGCATCACCCTGAACTCAGTCAACAAAAGGAAGAGTCAAGAACAGAATAAAATTATAAGAACAGAGGATCTGGGAGGTCAGTGTATGATCAAAACAATTACAATGTGAAAGAAGGTAAACACAGAGGAATAGAGATCCAGGTTGTGGGAAAGTCAGGTAGATTTCAAGATAAACTAGACTGTCTTAAATGAAGGGAAGAATTAGTGGAATATAAGGTAGCCACAACAGTGGGGTTGGGTTGGGGGTTTAGATCGGATGTTGGGGAGGGCAATACAAAAAGGTGGAAGAGGCAGAAGAACAAGTAGCTAGGGGAACACTGAGACAGGTTTGCATGTCCTAAGTGAGACACAAGTAAATAGTGATGCATGCTCAACCTTGGAACAACAGGGCTCTGTGATACAGGGATCTAGGCATAGTTTGAAGATGTGAAATAATACTAAAATGCTTTACTGTCTTATGAATATTGCTTTCCCTTGCCTACTATTGTAAAATAGACACTTCTGTGGGATAGAAAGGAATGTTTGGGAACATGTTTACAGAAAACTTGTAAGCCAGTCTTCAGCCTATAACTGATTGGAATACCTAAAAGGGGTTTTAGAACTTGCCCAGTGAAATAGGCCTCTTGCAAAACCTTTGCAGAGTATAGGACCTTAGGTGGAACCCTGAGTCCCATTCAGAACCTTATGAGGTGGGACATTTCCACTAGAAAGGACAAGCAGACCAGCCTGGAATAGCTAGGGCAACAGAAGATACATCTTCAAAGAAAGATCATCAGGAGAAACCCATACAAAAATGTCAGCATGACTGGCTACTACAAGAATAAGCAAGCTGTTCGCCAGGAAGACATCAAGGCAAGCAATCAAGTTCCTTCAGGTATGTAAAGTTGCTGGTGACCACATTGGCCTACTGATGAGTGGAAGCAATGAAGAAGTGGGCTGAGTTCAGCCACAGTCCATTGACTCCCGTTGACCTGGAGATGAGAAAGAGAAGAGGAAGGGTTGGTTGCTCCAAAGTGTGGTGAGACTTGGGGATACTTGAGCCCATGGACAAGGACATAGCCACAGAGGACTAGAGCTGAGAGTGAAGCATCCAGCTGATATGAAGCGAGGGGAGATGCACAAGAACACCCAAACCTGCAGACAGTACCCATTTCACTTAGCCTCCATGTCTTGATAATCAGAACTCAACTAGAGGAAGCTTGCAAAAAAAATTTTTTTTTGATAAAGGAAACAAGGGTCAATTGCTACAATTTGATGAGCCTGACCTATATACTCATGGAAGTAGTAACTCCACCATCAGAGAGGGAAGGAGTCTTCACATCAAGTATCAATGCTATCACATCTGTACATGGGGTAAATAGGTAGGGACGGGCAGCTTAGACATTGGCTACCTAAAATGAGGGGGCAATAAAGGTATGAAGTGACTGGCTTACAAGGTTTCAAGAGGGAGTTTAGTTTAAGAGTGTGAGGGGGCTGGGTTGAGAGAAAGGGTCCCCACTGAATAGTTTTCATCTTGTTTAGATGAGTCTGGTAGAAAGAGATGGGGATAAGATCCGAATGATTCAATAGTGAATAATTGTTATCATGACTAATTGCGACTGTCACAATTGTAAAGGTAGATGTTTTGTAACAAAAACGGTAGTGGTTAATCTTACAGTCCAGAAACAGGACCCTAGGACTAGGACCATCCAGGGAAAAGAGCACAAGCAGAATGCAGGACCTTATCCAGAGAAGCAGTGACTCCAGAGATGGAGGCAGAGATGGGATCATGGAGAGGGGGAGTGGCTGAGGACTCTAGATTCATGGGAAGAGAGGGACTAAGGGCCGGTGGCCAGGAGGCAGACTTGCAGAATGTGCCCTTTGGAGGTAAAAATTATAATATATGCCTGAGTGTTGTTTATTTGTTTGTTTTATTAAAAAAAGCTAAAGTAAATAGAAATACTGTTAACTGATGGGTACATTGAGGGGATTATAATCATTGTAATGAAACATGGTGTATGATTTGTTGAACGTAAAACTGATGATCTTGCCTGAAAACTTTCACTCAATCCACAATAAAAACCTTAAAAAAAATTAGTTTTCATGTTCATACATTTATTAAAAGCATCATATATCATAGTTGAACAGTTTAGATTGAGTCACATTTATGGCCCGATGACTATCAGGCTGCAGGTGATGGGAGGGTGTGCTGCCACAGAGGTAGTTTGGAGGGGGTGAGTTGTAATCGACCATCTCTACCATATCCAGATGTTCTGCTGGGAAAGCGAGGCTTATGATGGCTCTCAGTTATTTATTTAGTGGGTAGCAACTGTTTAGAGCATGGGGTGAGCAAACTTTTTCTGTAAAGGACCAGAGTCAATACTTATTTCAGCTGTGGGCCATATAGTCTCTTTCACAGCTACTTTCTCAACTCTGTTGGCATAGTGAGAAAGCAACCAGAAACAATGTGTACTACAGTGATGTGATCCCATAAAGCTTCATTGGCTTTGCTGTTGTGTGCCGACGCCCTGCCCGTGCTGCCAACTCTTTCATTGGCTAAGAGCAGTAAATAATAATTGTGAGAGCATACAAATCTGTCTGGCAGAGGAAAGACCAAGAGAAAGCCTGTATCTGGAGGATGTCGAAATGTTGAGCTTGGATCTAGCTTTTTTTTTTAAGCATTGTGGCATTTCAGCTGCTTGTTTTTGGTTAAAGAGAATTTAGAATTTGTTGGGCACAGATCAAGTCCCTGCCATCCCTGATCTGTGGCTTCTTCCCCCTTCAGAAGACAGGCCCACACCTTTTAACTAATGCCCTTAGGTTGTTACTGGCTGCATTAATTACCACTGCCCTGTGGAGAGCCCAGAGCCCTCTATTAGAAAAGTCTAATACTTTTACTCTCCTTGGGATGGCTACTCCACACGTGACATGACTTTTGTGACCCAGCTCCCAGCACCATGTAATCATTGCCTGGAATAGAGGGTGTCCACCGTGTCCCAGTGTGTCCACTCTGAATATTTGTTGAATCGATGTTCCTTTGGACAAGTACATGGTACACACTTAGCTGCCTTTCAGCCACTAAGTCTCTGCCACCCTGGAGGAAAGCCCTAGCCTTCAAGTTTCCTTATTAATATAGCCATGCACTTTTGACTCTAGAATGTCATTTTGAGTAGTAGTTACCGCTCTGCCCTCTCTTTCTGAACATGTCCTTACTTTTCACGACTGTTCTATATTCAATCCATATACTTTTTCTTTTGGGGGAGTCGGGAGCAGTAGGACTGAAAAAGGTAAGAATAACCCAACATGACCATTGAAAAGCTAGCTCTTTCCTTCAAAGCTGAAGTCTTTGTAAAAACACACATGACCAGTTTTACTTTGGAGTGATTTCTCTTGCTATGGAATGACTTGACTTTGGAAAAATCCTAATGTTACTTGCCTGTGCTTTAGGTTACTGTTTGTGGCACCTGCATCTGGTAATGAACTTGAGCAATCAGTTTCTAATTGAGAAAACTAGTTGGTGATTCAACAGGCCATAGAGTTTAAGATAAAGAATTAGAAGAGAGAAATCCATGCTTGCTGTGGCTTGCAGCACATTCTGTGAACAATAGACTTTAGTTATTGATTCATAGCTACTTCATTTTTGTCTCCAGAGTCTCAAGCTGCAGCTGTTAGGAAGAAAAGGGCACATTGCTTAGCGCTTGATTCTAAAGGCAAGAGAGAATAAGTGCACAGTCTGTGATGTGTACAGGGGATTACAGTCTCCATCGTTCATCAATTACAAGCATTTCCACTAACTTCCTCTACCCTCAAACTAACCCTGTGAGGAGGTATCCAGGACTGGAATGTGTAAACAAAGGCTCACAAAGTCCCCCAGCCAGGTGGTAGAGAAATGTCTTTGGGTTCATTATCCAAAATTACCTACCCTGTCACCTGCAAGAAGAGCAAAAATTAAAGACCGTTTTAAGCCTGGAAAATAAGCCATTCTGGCCAATAGAACTTTAAGAAGAAGAAGAAGAACTGACTTGTTTCAAGACTGTCCCCATTCTGGTAACTAATGTGCAGTCTGATGTGGCGCTGTGGGATAAAGCACTAAACCACAAGGTTGGTTTGAACCGCAAGGTTGGTAGTTCAAACTCACCAGCTGCTCCTTGGAAACCCTATACAGAGTCACTATGAGTCAGAACTGACTTGATGGCATTTAACAGCAACAACAATGTGCAGCCAGAGAGAGTGGCTACAGCTTAACTAGTCCTATGTGACCACTGTTTTCCTCCTACTGAACCCTGTTAGCTCTAAGCAGCCTCAACATCAGTCTCCTAGGTTTGTCCATGTTGTAGAGGCATTGGTGTTACTGCTGAAAAGAGTCTCCTAGAAGACTTGGTTCTCTCTTTCTCTCAATTTAAAATTTAAACACAGCTATTGAGGTACTCTACCCATATATCCCTAACACAAGGAGACCTGCATTTTAGTCTTGCTTCTGTCTTGTCATTCTGTGTCTGCTGTTGTTGCTCTAACTGTACTTGGGAAGACTTTTATCCTTTTCCTTGCTCCATTTCATTGTCATGTGTAGGCTATGGGCAAGTGGCCCTTTTCATTGTCATGTGAAAGCTACAAGCAAGTGGCCATTCTCACAAAGGTTAAATTAACTCGGTAACTGGGATGAGAACTCAACATTTTCAGTGAACAAGAGGTCTAGGTGTGGCTCTGCGGGTTAATGCGCTGGACTGCAATGTAGATTTGAATCACAAGGTCAGTGTTTCACGCTTACCAGCCGCTGCTCAGAAACCCTATACAGGGTTGCTATAAATCAGAACTGACTCGACAGTACTTAACAACACAAGATGTCTAGACAGATTTTCTGCAGGGGTTCCCACACTGGTGCTTGGGCTCACTTTGAAAGTTTCCTTGATAAACAAGACACCACCAAGTGTTTGGGTTCTTTCTTCTCTCTTTCAGATGCCAGTATGGACAGAATAACTTACGATGCTTATCCCTGCCCATCACTTTCGAGACATTGAGCGGAAACCAGAATACCTGCAGCCGGAGAAGTGCGTTCCACCTCCCCACCCTGGTCCTGCAGGAACCATGTGGTTTATCCGTGATGGCTGTGGCATCGCCTGTGCCATTGTCACCTGGTTTCTGGTCCTCTACGCGGAGTTTGTGGTCCTCTTTGTCATGCTGATTCCATCCCGAGACTATGTCTACAGCATCATCAACGGAATTGTGTTCAACCTACTGGCCTTCTTGGCCCTGGCCTCCCATTGCCGGGCCATGCTGACGGACCCCGTGAGTATGTCTGGGCTTGTTTTGACCAGCCCACACTCTCCTCTGGCTCCTGCATGGCCACAGCCTGCATGCTCCCCTTGGCCCTTGGGAATGTGGAGAACAGGAGGGCCAGGACTGGCATGGGAAAGTGATGAATTCACAGGCCCACGAGTTCAGAATTCTGGGGAATTCAGACTTGGGAAGAGGGGGCAGCATTCATATCACAACCTTGGTTGAATGATACATATGTACATTGAAGCTACTATGGTTTGGTCTCAGGGAAACTTAGCCTCTAGTTAGAAAGACAGAGCAGAGTCTGGTAATCATAGAGACAGGTCATATGATGAGAGCAGAAAGCATGCTAGGAGAGTGGGTCATTTGGATCAGGATGAACCGTCTCAGTAAGGATAGGACTGGCTGGCACTAGGTACATTTGAAATTAAAGCCATATCCAGTTGCAGAAACTTGCACAGAAATGGCATACACTTTGTTTGGGTGAGGCTCACCTTTTCCTGAAAAACTAGACATGCCTGTTCAGGCTGCAACAAGTGCCTCTCAGTGCTATCTGTGGGTAAAGTAGTGGTGTCCCACCTGATGACTTAGCTAAATATTCCACATGGTACAAGTGACTATTGAATGTGCACCATGGTATTAAATCCTTATCTGTGCTCATTATAGGAAAGTAAGATAGTACATTATTTGATAAAGATTTCCTGTGGTCTAATTATTTCAGTACATGGGACATGTGTGTTTAAATTAAACAAGGGAAAGCAAGCCAGCACTGCTAATGGCACTGGCCCATCCAGTTTAATTTCTGTGAGTCCGAGGGAGCATGTAGGAAGGATACTGAGGTCCTCTGACAGTTCTACCTTCTCAGAGGGCTCTGTTTCCTGCTGCTGGTTCAGGTGTTGGATTTTTAATCCATCCCAAGGGAAGACAGCTTTCCCAGCTCAATTACCTGTCAGCTACTGGTCCTAACTGCACTTCTTATGCACGTGCCACAGGAAGGAACCCACACACTGATAGGCAGAGGCCTCTTGGCCCAATATCAGCACCCCTTATGGAGTTATTGGACACCCATCACCTGAAGGAAATGAAGTACACAGTTGTAATCGTAGGTGCTCTGAGACACAAGTTTATAAAGAGTTTTCCCAGCAACTTCAAGTTGGTCATGCTGAAAACAAACTAGGGCTTGATTCAGAAGTTTTTATGGGACCTTTGCTACTTAGGGACATAGGGGCAATTTGTTTTCTACTGAGTCCTAAACATTATGCCTGCCCTCTGGGTACCTCTTTGAAGAAAAGACAGGTGAGACTAAGTGTGAAAGACAGCTGTGAGATGAAGGCGGTGGCAAAAGAAGCACAGGTTGCTGTGGGAGAGCAAGGGGGCTGCTGTGCTGGTACACTGCTGGATCCCCCAGCCAGTCTGGACAGAATGGGTCCAGTTAGCAGGGAGGTGGAGGGCAGTGAAGCAGGAAGACAGCAGCATCAGAGGGAACGTGAAGCTGCAGAGGCCTGTGGGAGTGTGGCTCCTCTAAGGAACCTGGGATGTAGGAATGTAGGAGGAAAATGGGATGAGATGGGAGTGTGGTGAGATGTGAATGAGAGTCCTTGGTGGCACAGAGCTCAGATGCTGTGAAAGGTTGGCAATTTGAACCCACCAGCAAGTGGCAAAGAAAGATGAGGTAGTCTGCTTCTGTAAAATTACAGCTTTGGAAACCCTCTGGGCAGTCCTGCTCTGTCCAGTAGGATCACTATGAGTCAGAATCAACTTGTCAGCAATGGGTTTGGCTTGTTGGTTTGTTTTATTGGTGAATGGAATACCAAAGAAGTAGGGTGGAGTCAGATACTGAGGACAGTCTGGATCTCTTGAGGGTTTTAGCCCCAAAATGAGATGATTCTATGTCAATTTATAAGGATCCTTCTGGCAGGAATGAGAAGGAGCCCTAGGTACACTGATGGATGGAATGAAATGTGTGGCTATGTTTATTGAGCACCTGCTAGGTGGAGGTTCCCTTCTGGGCAGTGGATACAACTGTGAGCAAGACACGTGGAAATTCCTGCCCTCTGGCAGTTCCGGTTCTAGTGGCACAAGGTCCATAGCGAAGACTTACCAAGCAGCTAATGTCAGAAAGTGTAACTGCTTTAAAGACCATAAAACATGGTGATGTGATATGACATTTCTGGAATGGCACAGGAAAGGGAGGGGGGAAGGATTTTAGATTATGGTGGCCTGAAAAGGCCTCTCTAAGGTGTCACCATTTGAGCTGAGGCCTGTATGACAATAAACAGCAAGCCAGGCACATGGAGCGCTTTGAAGCAAAGGAGAGCAGGTACAGAGGCCCAGAGATGGAACATGATTTTGGAGACACAGGACTAAAACCAGTGTGGTCAAAGCACAGTGAGTTAGGAGTGCTAGAAGAGTTAGCAACAACTGCAGAAGTAAATCATGGGAGCCTCGAGGCCCCGTGAAGACTTTGGTCTTTATGCTGAATACAGTGTGAAACTTTAAGAACAGCATGGCGGTGGCATCAGACCTCCTGACTTCACAAGGGAGAAGAGGAGAATCACCAGCCCATGGCTGATTCCTATGAGACAGAGGTCAGACAGACATGCCTCCACCCTGTAACCTTCTTTTCCATTTCTAACACCAACTGTCCTTCCCAAAGGACTTTCAGCTTCTCTGCTGGGTTCAATAATCCATTGCAAAAGCCACACAGAACTCAAGGACAATACTCATGATTATGGGGTTTATTAGGGAAGCTAACAGGGTATACAATTGTGGATCAAAATTGAGTCCTTCCAGTCAGCAGTGCCTCTTCTCAGCCAGGCCTGCAGGCACACGTCTCTCTCATGGTTGGCCTCCTAGCCACATGGCTTCTTGGCTTCTGCTTGAGCAAGTGTTATAAAGTTCCTTTAATGCTGCTAATAAATGCTGAAAGGGCACACTGCTTTGCAAGCCCACCTCCTGCCCCAAGGTGCTCAGCTTTACTACTTCAGTGGGCTGGGAAGACCACTGCTGTGTCTCGTGCTCTCTGCATCCCTGCCTTTGCTGCCATGTCTGTTACTACCACTTCTTCATGCAGGAATCTCGGCCTCTGAAGGACGTACTCTGCTCTAGGTCTTCTTTCCTGAAGGTGGCAAGATTCCCCCATTCCTGCTTCTGAGATGGATCATTTTTACACCTAGTGGTATGGCCAAACCAACCATTCTCTGCCTTAGAGTCTCATATACCCTGTTTACTTAGTCTCATCCAGCCATTTGGTGGAAGTTACAAAGACTATAGCTAGAAAAGTCATATTAAATAATTTACAGTACCACAAATGCTGCCAGAAAGGCCTGATGTAATCTGGCTTTAAAAAGAGAATGGATTGATGGATTAAGTTATAGGGGCCTGGAGTGGGTGTGTAGAAGCAGGGAGAGGAGAGCTATTGCAGTATATTTCAACCAAGGGGGAAGCAGTGAGGCTGGACAGAAGCCATTGGACTTGGAGATGTTTTAGGCCCTGAGTTCTCAAGTAGAATCCCCTGGAAGCTTTTCAGAAGTACTGCTGCTCAAACCCCACCCCTAGAGAGTCTACTGTAACTGGTCTGGGGCAGTTTCTAGCTATTGGATGCGTTAAAGCTCCCAGATGACTCCTGTTCAGCCAGCTGTTCTGAGCACCTACAGAATGGAGATGAATGCAGATAGAATGCCTTTAGAGTCTTGCCCCAAGCAATTGGGGAGTTGGTTGTGCAGTTTATTGAGTGGGAAAGTCTCGGTGTGTGGGGTGAGGGGATATGGCTACAGATATGAAGGAGAAGCCTATTCTGGCCAGTCTCCATGACACACAAGCAGAGCTGCAAGGCGGGCAGTGAGGAGTCAAAGCTTAGCGGCAGGGGGATCAGGGTGGAGAGTGGAGGATGCAGTCACTGGCTTATAGAAGGCCTGTGTAACCAGGGTGAGGGAGGAGCCCCCTGCACGGTATTCCTGCTGCCCTTGTGCAGTGTTTTCTTGGATGCCCCACACTGAAGTATGGGGTCTCTTGAGGGACCTCCTTCATTGGCCCCCTGCAGTTGGATGCTGGAGAGCACAGTTTCAATCCCAAATGGGAGAAAGTCACAGACTACTATATCCCGAACATGAGTCCACTTTTCGCAGGCATGTTCTGCTGGCGTCTCTAAAGAAATGGGCAGAAATTAAAGAAACTGTCACATACCTACTACTAGTAAGGAGAATGCCTCATACTGTATCCTACAGATGTGCCCATCTCTGGGTCTGCTGGCTTCCCAAGGACTCTCCATGCCATTGCCTGCCTCTCCCTATTCCCAGAATATGGCATTTTATGCAAAACCCAGAGTATAAAACAGAAGTGAAGCTTTGGAGGAGGGAGGCCCTGAGGCAGGCCCAATTCCAGGATTTTAACATGGCAAGGATTCCTGGTGGCACTGTGGTTAAACACTCAAGTGCTAACCAAAAAGTCAAATTATGTGAGCCTACCAGCTGCTCTGTGACAGAAAGATGTGGCAGTCTGCTCTCTCTGTACAGATTTACAGTCTCTGAAAATCCAAGGGGCAGTTCTACTCTGTCCTCCAGAGTTGTTGTGAGTCACAATTGATTCCACATTATTGGTTTCTGGTGAGTATTAATACTGCAAGGAGAGTCTGTTTCTAAAAAAGATCCCCTGAAAGGGTTTTAAAGAGTTCCCTAATGGGATTATGATGTTTATATCTCAAGAATTCATGTTGCACATTGTTTTTGTCAGCAGGTGTGGCACTGTAGGGTCAGCACTGGACTGTAAACCACAAGGTTGGCTATTAAAACCACCAAGCAGCTGCTCCTTGGAAACCCTATACAGGATCTCTATGAGTCGGGACTGACTCAACGGCACTTAACAACAAAAACCACAAGATTATAAGTAGTATACACGCTATAGCTTATTTTGTTAGCCTTACTAGTTAAAAAAAAAAAACACAGAAAACCTCTTATTGTTACTCCAAATAGTTATTTTACTACATCCAGCTTTAAAATTCTTGTCACAAA